TTCACAGAAGGAAACAGCTCACAAGATAACAAAAACTACCAACAACTTTAATTAACGTTCGCTGAATAACACGTCATACCGGCACAAAAAGTGTAAAAAAGTCAATTAGACGTTTTTCAGGTCATGATGGGCCAGACTCTTGGCTCGGACCAGCAACTTCCTGGAGTCTCCACTTGTTGGCGGCTGCTTCAGGCCAAGAAAAAGTCTGGCACATACGCTCCCATTAAACAATAGACAAGATATAACGTGTTATTTAGTGAGCTTTAGAGGCGCTGATAGGTGGATTTAGTTACCGTTTGACAGAGAGCCAGGCTAGCTCTTTCCACCTGACTGAATTCCTTATGCTAAGCTAAGCTAACTGTGATTGGCTCCGGCTACATATTTATTGCACACACACGAGAGAGCTATCGATCTTCTCATCTAACTCTAAGCAAGAAAGCAAAGTATTTTTCAAGATGTCAAACTATTGCGTTGAACCAACCTCAATGGAGCTTGAGATCATGATATTGTCATCAGTGCATCCTCTTTGGAAAACATTTAAATAATGAATACTGTGCTTACCAGCATGTGACTCAAGGTCAACCTCCTGTCCCGTTATTATTTCAACATGATGGACGAAGTTCTCTTGCACAACCGGGGCCTTGGTTATGCCTTATTAATATGTTATTGGGCAGAATATAGTAAGGGCAAAGGTCCATCTCGAGTTTCCACCTGCAGATGATTTGTAGCTGTGTTGTATGTTACTGATACCTCGCGTTGCAAGCCTCCGGAAATTTGTTGCAGGATGTTGGAAATAAGATTCCCATCAATGGTGTCGTGCAGATGAAACCAAGAAGATCTGGTCAGCTATTATTGGAAGCTAATTTCTACAGTTTCGAGGCCGCTGATGATGAAGGGCAGAGGGTGAAGCGGGAGGGAAAACGAATGCCGAGCCAAAGAAATGCTTGTGATGTGATCTCAGCACACCTGAGACTTGTGGATTGATAGTAAACATGAAACAGAGCAAATGGATTTCATTACAGTGTAATTGTACTGCTCCTTTCATTGCTTAGCAAAGACCACGTCCTTTCAAAAGTGCGCTTTGATGATGATGGATATCTTATTGAAACAATTACTCTTCCACATGAAACGACTCATAGTGCACCTGGGTTTTGAACATCAAGTTTTTATGGCATCCCTTTAACATTTGTAGCTCAACATGTTGCATTTGTTGGCTTTAATTTGGGAATTTTAACAATTTTACTGTGATGAATGTATAGAAATCTGTGTCCTGCTACACTGCATTGCATATGTTATTAAATCATTTACTCATGTTGCTCTATTTATTGGTGTTGATCTGTATATACAGTTTGTGTCTTTCTTTTCTATTACGACCAAAAGATCGGAAAGTAGGCACTTCTATCTACTGTCGGAAAATATCTTAAAAATAAATCTATATAAATAAGATTGGTGGGTTCTGCTCTCACATCCATGAAAATCTGGTAAAATTGCCAATTTATTGCTGTTATCATGAAAGGTATCTCTTCAGGCAGGAAAGGAGAGAGAGAGGGGCAGAGTGGAGTGATCAATTTACTCCGAGGGACGGGTGATTTTCCTGTTATCTACTAATCTTCAATTACTCAATATCCAGAACAATTTTGGCCTCAATCAACTGATCCAGTGGAGCAGGAGTTAAGAGTTAAGCGGGAACAGATGAGAGCCTTCGGGGTACATGATACCAACTCTTCTACAGGAGAGCGTGGTGGCACTGGTGTGTGCACGGATTTGTGTGTTTGAGTGTGTTTTAGTTGAAGCAGTAAAATGCAGAGGTTGAAATTGCTTGGTTATTCATAAACGTACCAAACAATTGGAGGGAAAGCAGCCACACAGCTGTGGTCAAAACAACACTCCCATGTTTCCCACATCATGCTATTTCCTCTCACTCTGACCTGTTTACTTTGACTGCCTCAGTCTGGTGTTACATCATAAACTGGATTTTAAAAGATGGCCAAAACAAGTACAACAGGTCCTATTCAGCGAATTTCTGACAGCAACACCAGAGGTAATCTATTTCCCTTCTCTGGAGCCCGGTGCAGGCGTTTGGGGAAAAAACAAATGGACACATAATGACAACTGTAACGGCTTGAATAATGAAAATTCTCTGTAAATGAAGAGGGAGAGTTAATAGAGTTCTAGTGGTGATGATACACAGCGTCCAGCATGGGGAAGTCTCTGTACTGGCTTTACAATGATAAAATGCACAGTGTTATGTGTGAGTGCCACATGAAGAAGAAAGGTTTTGTGAGACTATGCAATAAGAACATTAATGAATGCAGCTATTGTTACAGCTATTCCTCCTTTACCAGCCAAGACTCATTGTTCCTGGAGATTTTTTTTATCTTAAATTCTTTAATATTTAACACAAAATAGACTGCAGTTGTAATGCGTCTGCAATAGAGAAAGAATCTCAAGGATTTAGATGGGAATGAATCTAACTCAGGCTACAGAAAAAACAAAGTTTAGGTTGACTCAATGGGTAAAGACTGCCCTCTCAGGGTTTCCTATGTCAATTGCAGTTAACATGGTTGCCTGACTATCAGCTATCTGGCTGAGCGCACAGGCAGAGTAGGGAACGGCCCACATTAGCATTCAGAATCACAGTAATCACCAGTAATATGTGTTTAATTGTAAAAATCTTTTATATTGATGGTTTTTCTATTTTGCAGTTTTTTTGATCGCTTAAGCTAATTTCAATTAAACTCAACTTTGCCTGCAAACGTTTCAGAATAAAAGCATGAGGACGTTTTAGGTGTCTCTTAATGTATTTGTCAACAACATATGAAGCATCCATAACAGGTGTATGAACACAGCTTATAAATGAGTAAGAGTTTCACAAAACATTCTTAACTCAAGGTCCACTTACTAGATTTCTTCTGGAGCTTCTCTTGTGGCATCTTGTTGCATCTCATGGCCTTCATCAGGAGATTGGGTTTGCACATTAACCTGGAGAGTGAAGAAGAATGTATGAATGAATAGACAAATATTTCATTTATAAACATAATAAATTAATGTAGCTTATATAATACACATGGTTTATAAATATAATAGATATAGACTTTTTGATATTGACATAAAATACATCATTCTTATTGTATTGTCCATTATCTATTAACTGTTTATGCACAAGTTATGGATACTTCATCTGAGGAATTATAGTTGTTTACACAACATGAATAAACACTTAAAAATGTCCTTATATGTGCTTTCAACTACATTGTAGTGTGATTTAAAACGTGTATTAGGTGGATGCTACTGATAAATGCTAAAGAGAAGGGGTTAAAATAATAGCGTTACACATATTTGGTAAAACGAAATGGAAAGTTACATTTGAAGATTAATTATTGAAATTGGAAATAGAGCAGTATGGTAAAAAAAACTGTAAAAGGTTCACTTGCTTCTTCTGGAGCTTTCTTACAGCATCTCGTTGCATCTGATGGCCTTCATCTGAAGTTGGGGTTAGCACATTAACCTGGATAGTGAAGAAAAATAATTTGTGGATAAATAAAATGAATTTAATACATATAATTTATAAGTAAATATGTCATATTTGATATTCACATAAAACATGAAGAAACATTTCTTAATATGCTGTCAATTATCCATTAACTGTTAATGCAAGAGATATGGATGCTTCACAGGAGAAATTATAGTTTTTGACAAATACATTAATGAACAATTAAAAATCAGCTTACCACTACATTATAGCGTGATCTAAAACATTCAGTCTCACAGCCAGAAGAAATGCGCTGCTCTGAAGTCTGGTGCTGCGGCAGCTGATTCTTCTGCATCTCTTTGCAGAAGGTAGCAGGGTGAACAGTGTGTGGCTTGGGTGGGTTTTGTCTTTAAAGATCCCGAGCTCTTTGCAGGCTCCTCTTCTTACCAATATCACTGATGCTCGGTAGATATGATGTTCTGCGCGGTTTTAATCAGCTGCATAGCGTCCTGTTCTGGGCCGTGCACATGACGTGCCAGTTTGTAATGTTTCCAGTCAGGATGCTTTTCTATCGCTCCTCTGTAAAAGTTAACAAGAATGTGGCACAGGAATCTGCCTTGTTAAGTTTCCTAAAGAAATACAGCCATTTATGAGCTTTCTTCACCAGGATGGAGATTTGTGAGGACCATCAGGCTGCTTGTGATGCTGATTTCTGGGAACTTAAAACCGTTTGCTCCACCTCAGCTCCATTAATATAGACAAGGGTGTGTGTCTTTGCCTCCTTTTTTCAAAAAATCAACAATCAGATGGAGATAGACCTAATTTGAACCGCTTTATATACTGCTGGGTAGTTTAATAAACTGTCACGTTTTGTATGTACAATCATAATCTGAAAAGTAACAAGTAACTAAAGCTGTTAAAGAAATGTAGTGAGGTAAAAAGTTCTATATTTGCCTCTGAACTGTAGTGAACTATAGTGTAGAGTTATAAAGCAGAATATGAAAGATATACTCAAGTGCTTCAAAATTATACTTAAGTACAGCACTTTGATATAGGCCTACTTAGTTTTCACTACTTCCCACAACACATATTGAATTCATCCATCTTAATATACAATCTATGACTTTATATTGTTATGAATGAGTCAGACAATATAAATCTTGTAAAATAGGGATGAATCAGCAAGGCAAGTCCAAACTCCAGCTGAGTGAGTACAGGAGTAAAAACATAAAACGAAACAAATTGGTTTCGTTATTATGTATCAAGTTAGATTATTTAGCTGGTTTATTTTTTATGATTTGATTGCACCAGATGAGACAGCTGTGACTGCAACTTCCGTGCTGTGATTCAATTGGTCCAAAGTTTACCAGAACTCCGCCTTTCTGCCCGTAATGTTCCTGTGCAGCAGCTGAGCCTCACAGAAAGAGAGCTTGTTGTGGGCTGGTCCGGTTCACTGACCAACATTACACTGCAGGTCACCCAAGGACAGAGGAGCGACAGGCTGCCAGCGAGGTCAGTGGCTCATTTAAACAGCTCCGTTTTGTTTTTAAATATACTTCTCAAACACGTGTCGCTAAGCTAACTGGTAAGTTAACTCACGTTAACTAACCTAACGTTTCCTGTTGAGGGGTGAAACAACTACTTAATGCTTACTTTGCTCGTTGACGTCGATGCGTGTATCTGCCCAGAAGTCACGATAAATAAGAAGCAATCGATGCAAAGAGGGTTGTTGTTTGCTGAAGTGACTTTAAACATGTCATAGTTTCTCATCTGGGTTAAAGTTCATCAACCACCAACTGAAACAAATGGCGCGCCCTATTGAGGTGACACAGTGCTGTGTTCAAAAGCAGCTAAAAGGGTTGGAAATCATCCTCTCTGCAGAACTGACAGAGTGTACGTTTGTCACGTAAGAGTGCTGCGGTTAAATCGTGCTTTTTCCTCCACAATGGGCTGACTGGCAATTCATGCAAACACGGAGCATGGTGTCTGAGCCTGGTATATAATTATATTGTTTTAGACAGTGACCCTTTACAGACTGCAATGTCTATTTCTGACCTCCTAGTGTGTGGACATGAGCTGAGAGCACATACTTTATTATTTTTCTTCTCAAGTTGTTTCATTTTAGGGATTTTTAGAGGCCTGAAAAAAAATCCATAGTGTGTAATGGATTTTTTTTCCCCTTCCTTCCTGTAATCATCTTATTGCCCCTTGGAGGGTTTTGACACCTGCTAGGTGAGCTAGGTTCTGCTCTCATTAAATGCTTTTTAACCAATGCAAATTGATGTCACTGATCTGTGTCTACACTATTTTAGATAATGTTTAAATGTATATTCCACTTTTAAGACCCTAGCTCTTCCTGTCTTTGGTTAATTTACTCTTCACTGTTTTTGTCCACATTTAAAATGTCTTTCTTTCTAAATCCGTCAGATCAGGGACTGCTACAGTGTCTTGGATGAGCTGTCGACCTCTTTGACCCACTGGCAAGAAGTGATCTTTCTTCTGTGTCAACTGCAACACTGCCGTCTATTGCAAGTGTCTCAATAGTTTCCTGGAGATGTACCAGCTTGTCCATTTAAAATCAAAGGTCACATAATGTTTCAGCTCCAAAGGGAGCGTGGCAGTTTGTCTCTTTCTCTCAAAAGGGGTTGATGTGTCTCAACATTGTGAGTATGTGACAAACAGTCTTGTAACGCAATAGCAATTCTTCTAAGCGCTTTTGCTGGAGTCACTTGTCAGCGGGATGATTGTTTCCGAAAGTCTCGAACAGCTTAGTTTGTGTTGCGACAGCCGTCCTCATAATATGTGCAATGTCACTGAGAATTATCTCGGGTTCATCTCTCGCTTGATAGCAGGGGGAGAATAGCATCAGACTTTGCTTTGTAATAAAGCCAGTGAAGATGTCATCAACTGCCGCTTGGAAAAAGAAATATGTTGCTCAACCGAGCTGTTGCAACAAAATGCAATTTGCAATCACAGAGAGAGTCTGGAACACCACAGGTCATGAAACATATCAGAGAGCTTTTATTCACCCTGACATCTAAAAGAATCTGTGAAATGATGCGACAGTGGTTCTGTATAAAGGTCACCCATTGTTTGAACTGCTTGTCTTCAGTGTAGAGTTCTGTATATGCGGCTCATCTCTTCCTTCTGTCAGGTGGGTGTGGAATCTAATCTACCTGAGAATTTACATCATGTTGGCAACGCGTTGCATCTGTGCGGCTGCACTCCACACGCTACTGCCGCATGGTCCCCCCCCAGCAATATGATCGGATAGGCCATGTCCTTTCTTTGATTCGTCCGCCCTATACATCAGGTTAACAACCAGTGTTTGGGTAAATGCAGATGGAGTCCACTAATGTCTCCCTGTGCTGTCTGGTGGCACACAAACAGATGCCGTCCACATGGTTGGGAGCACCGGCTATCATGTTTTTTTCCTTTGTCGATTAATGGCGTGTCAGAAAATAATGAAGAGCCACAATGTGTCTTTTTCTTCATTTTTTTTTCAGAACCCAAGGCGACGTCTTCAAGTTGTTTGCCATCAATCTGAAACCCAAAGATATTCGGTTTGCTCCCACATCAGACGGAGAAGCAGCAAATGCTCACGATTTAGAAACTCAAACCAGAGAATGATTGCTAGTTTTTAATCTGAATAATTACAGATTAGGAAAAACAGTTTATTCAATCGACTGATGATTTAATTGACGTTTCCACTCTACTTGAGATGTATAAACAAGTGGAGAGTTCCTCTGGGAAACTGGGACATTTTTCTTATATTTTCTGTCATTTATTTTAATTGAATTACTTAATCCTGAAAATAATCTGCAGGATTCTTAGTTGCAGTCTTAATTTACATACAGTATAACCTAATACAGGCTTTTATCCATACCACCCTCTCCTACAATTTTTCCCCATTTTGTGTAAAGTTCATTATTTTACCCTTTTCTGACCCAATTTAGTGTTAGATTCAGCTTCTATTTAAAGCAATAACTCATTGTATTAATGGAATAGGGTAGCAATATTTCACTTGAGTAATTCTTTCGGCCTAGTTTTCGATTTAAAGCAATATTTTACGAAAGCAGACTTGCAGTATTGCTCAATATTTCACTTAAGGATGTTCACTTGATGTAAATGATATCGAGGTCCATTTTTCCTGCACGCCTTCGTGTGAGCAATCAATCTCCAGCGTCAGTGGCCTGCTGTTTCACAGTTAGCCGTTCGTTATTCATGGCTTCTCTCTTGACTCTCATCCATAGTTTTAAATCAGACTAACTTCTGGAGCCCCAGAACTCTTTCTCATATCATGAATATAAACTCCTTTCATGTTTGTCACAATCGTCACCTTGGGAGACATGTATTGTTTCAGGATACACGTACTAAGAGGTTGAATGTTAAGCTAAATCATAAGGAAAATGCATGTCTCGTGACTCTGTGATGCTGCCGTCAAGACTTCCATGATTTCAGGTTGAAGTTTTCCTTGACGCACAGATGATCACGAAACTGTAGCTTCTTGTTTTACCCCTGATGGCACTAAATGGAGAAGTTTATAACGCACGCATTCTAATTCCCCACCTTGATCTACCAAACATTGGCCGCATTAATCCATATTTTCAAAAGCAAACTTCAACATTTTCCTCAGCCTCTGATGTTAAGACTTTAATGTTTCAAGATGTTGTCTCGCTTTTAAAAATGCAAACATATCGCCATGAAACTAAACTAAAAAAATGTGTCATTATCCATTATTTTTACTTTCAACTTTGACACAGGGTGCTGACTGCATCATTGGCACCATTTTTGTTTTTTTTAAGAGCAGTTTCATCCGCATTGCATCACAATGTTGACAAATGAATTTAACATGGTTGAGTTGCCTTTCTGCCCACATTCTTAAACCCTCTGACAGGACAGCGATTCCATTTCCTGAAGTCATAAGACATATCTTTCTCTTCAAGATAGCCACTTAAACAAAGAATATCAGCGATGTGTTTCATCATGCATACCAAGCGCTCTCTGCTTTTCACACTCCATATTCCATGTCACAGATTGAATCCAGCAGTCACAATGGCAGACAGCGGGAAGACTAATGAGACTGTAGCGGCAGCAACAGGACCAGCTAATGGAGACCAGCAGGTGAGGAGCACCTTGACCCAGAATGACATGCATTACAAAACCCGAGGCATATTATGAACTCATTTGATGCTCAATAAGCCACTGTGGGGAATCGATCATTATCCTGAACTGAAAACTTGAACTGTACAGAAAAAGGGCTTGCATTGCAATTCCCATTGTCTTTTATGTCTCTTCAATCACGGTAATGGCTGTTTTTCTTTGTCCTAGAATGTTGTTTCCCGAGTGAGCCATCTGCCTCTGGTCAGTTCAGCTTGCGAGGTGGTTTCCAGCGCCTACAGCAGCACCAAAGACAGTGTGCCCTTGCTGAAGGGAGTGATGGATGCGGCAGAGAGTGGGGTCCGAACCCTGGGAGCAGCCGCGACCACGGGGTCAAAGCCGCTGTTGGACATTATAGAGCCACAGCGTGAGTTCTGCCATCTGTCCAAAAAAAATATGATGCAATGACGGCGCACTATGACATGAATATTGCAAGCTTGTTGCGCATTAAAGGTGTGAGACTGATGTCAGGCTAGAATACAACAGGAATAGAAATAGGATTGTTCCTGTTCGTTTACTGGAGGTGTCATTTTAAGATCTTACTGTACTGTTGAAGTTAGCAGAGGTTTCTTTTGAGCATGAAAACATTTATTATTATTCCTCTTAAATTATTAGCGAATTTCTGTTGCATTCTTGTTTCAGTTGCTACAGTGAACGAGTACGCCTTGAAAGGACTGGATAAGATGGAAGAGAAGCTGCCTATTCTTCACCAACCAGCAGACAAGGTCAGACATACTTTTTTTTATTTTGGATTTATTAATTATAATGTGTGGCGTTCGGAGTCAGAGAGGTATGTTCATAAAGCCACTGCGATGGTGTCAGTGGCCCCTGAGTGCCCTCTTGTCTATTAGACATTAAGAGCGCTGCTGTCGGAGCCTCACCGACCTCCAGCTGAAGGGCCAGAGTGTCTGAAACCCATTTGGCAAAAATAGTTATATTTCTTTTAGTAACATTGGTACATCAGTTAATAGACATAAACATTGAATAATATTATATGCGAGAATTTTTAAAAAAAATTTACACGTTATTACTTAATCGAAACGGATGTGTTCATTTGCCAGCACCTGAATGTTACCCTTAATCACACTAGGTCATTTTACAGAGTGACATTCCAACTTACACGTCCACGTATCGAGACGCTTCAAACATTGCTGCAGTCGTTAATTAGCCTTCTAAATTTAGGGCGCGGTCACATAAATGCAAAATGAAGATTCAGCTCCCATTCACTTCCACTCCATGTGAACGAAGGGGCAAAAAGACATTCTCTTCCAGTGGCGAAGCAAAGTCGCGTCTTCACATTCGTGTCGAGTTTCATTTTGGTGAACTTTCAGCGTGAATAGGTGACTGTCACTCTCCTGCAGTTGTGACCGTCACAAACACTCAGGGGTGTCCTCATCTTACCCTGTTATCAAATATCAAGAAGGGTGATGTAGAAAATACATAACTTACTCTGCAAGCATGACTCATAATCTGGTCTTTCTTCCTCAGCTGGTGTCGGACACAGTGGGTATGGTGTACCAGTCGGTGGCGGGGGCCAAAGGTGCTGTGATGGGGGCTGTGATGGGCGGTGTGGAGCTGACCCGGGCAGCGGTCAGCGGAGGTATCCTCACCGCCATGGGCACCAGGGTGGGCCAGATGGTCAGCAGTGGGATGGGCCTGGCCCTGAGCCGATCCGAGGACTGGGTTGACCATAACCTGCCACTCACTGAGAAGGAGCTGGGTCAGTAGCTCTATTACTTGTGGAGAGCGTAATCAGTCGATTAAAAATAAATAAAAACCATGGGAGGAGATAAACCCAACGCTGAAGTACAGACAGTTGGATCAAATGAAGCAGAAACAAGGCTGCAGTTGGAATTAGTTAATTAGGGGACAACCAGCAGCCAATTTATTTCTATCACAGATGATTGTAAATACAAACAAACAAATTTAGTGCATTAAGACTCAGTCAGTAAGCATTCTATTTTTCATCCAAGTGCTTCATAAATTACGTGGACACATTTGGATCACAGAATATATCTTTTAATATATTTCATGAAAGCAAAAGCAATTTACTTTCTCATTCCTTAAAAATGCCAGTCAAGATCTACTACACCGCCTTTATGTCTTATCTGGCCCTTTTTTTTTTGTTCTTTTTACATTTGCACTTGGAATCAAAAGATACATTAGATAAACTAGTTCCGCATTGGCATATGAAAAAGTACATCTCCTTTCAGTTATCCATCATTAATGCTTCAATTTTGCTTTAAAGTGGAACATTTTAAAGTTTAAGGTCAGCGATTAGCCTTTACATCCCTGACATGACTCCCAAGTTTAATTTCATACATTATGAATTGTAGCTGGCATTACTGCCATTCACTGAAACTTCATTTAGTCCATAATGAATATGTGCCGGCATTTGCACTATTTGCCATTTACTATGAGTGTCAGTAGCTGACACCTTGTCCTTGCTTCACTGATCTATAGATCAAACGGCAAATTTGATGAGACTGTCCAAAATAATTATCACTATAGAGACCAGGTGATGCAGCAGGATTTGGGGGGGTGGTTGTGATAAAAGTGTTAAATTCTCCTACTGTGACTGGATCTGACACACATGAATGGTTGATGCTATTCATAGAGAGGGAGGCAGGACATTCCAGTGAACTTCCCCTCTGTTAGCTTGGCCCATCAAGCCCCTACAATTTCCAACACTCACAGCTTTGACACCTGCTACTGTGATGTCATGACAACCTGCCATACTCCAACATAGCGGCAATACTCGAGAGGCAACTGCTATCAGCGGCAGCGGCAAAGTACCCGTAATGGCACCAGTGCTCTGGGGATTTTTGGATTTGTTCAGTGGTTACTGTGGCTTTTAACAGAGGCACAGCGAGACAGTCTTTCTGCATATCACTTAGCTCCCACAGACGGATGGTTGGGGGGGGGGGGGTTAGGTGGCTCTCGAGTCTTTTGGTCTCTCTTGAGCAGATGCGCTCTAACACGGTCAGAGTCAAGTAGGCCAACTCGGAACAGATGCACCAGTTGGCACAGTGGGAAGGAGCCCAATGTGCCTCCATCCATTACTCAAAACATGTCCGTCAGCGATATTGCTGTAAGCAAGGCGACATATTGCGATTACTCAATCGAATTCTAGGACAAACTGTCATAGTATAAAGATCACAATACACCATATGTGTAAAATTGGAGTAAAAAAAGTTCTATAATCATGACTTTGTGCTCACACCTAAATATTTAATGTCATTTTTATACATAAAACATCTCTTCTGAATAGATATTAGGTTAATACTATTCTATCTCAGCTGCTGTGGCTGAACCCGCCAGCAGTGAGGTGACTACCCCATCGAGCCCCAGCTACTTTGTCCGCTTGGGGAAACTCTCCGCCAAAGTCCAGGAGCGAGCCCTACAGCAGTCCCTGGTCCGCGCTGGCCATGCCAGGGATGCCACCTACACGACAGTGGCTCAGATCACCAGTACTCTGGACCTGCTGGAGATCGCCCGTACCAGTCTGGGTACCGCCAGTAACCAGATGGGAGGAGCCCCGGAGCAGCTGCTGCAGCGCTGGACAGAGTGGAAGCAGAAGCAGGCTGGAGCGGGACAGACTGAGTCAGAGCCAGATGGGACCAGAGATGAGGCTGAGGTCAGGGCTGAGGCATTTGGGGAATTGACTTGATGGTTTCTAACCAGATTATATTTGCATCTGACAGCATTTAGAGTGTATACTTTACTGTACATAGAAAGCATGTATACTCTAAAGTCCCTTAGAGTACCACTTGAACAAATGAAAGAAATCTAAGAGCATGACAGTGATAAGAACAAATCAATAAAGTTAGCAATAAATCAGACTGTATTTTAGTGGATGACATGTCACAGCTTAATTATTTAATATGCAAATCATTTATCTATTTTTATTTCCCCTTACCGTTCACAGCAGCTGGAATGGCGTGTCCTCTCCATGGTGCACGGTCTGAGTGACCAGCTGAGGTCAGCATGCTCCAATGTGGTGTCAAGTGCTCAGGGTCTGCCAGGTGCAGTCCAGGACCAGCTCACCAGCGCAAGACGATCAGCTGAGGAATTGCACTCCTCTCTGGGGACCACCAGCACCATCACGCCCCTCCTTCTGGAGCGGAGCCGCCACCACCTGAAACAAGTAATAATTGCAACTCGGTGTCTTTACCGCAGCGTTTTGTTTTTGCTGCATCAGCTTAGCTAAATATAGTGTAGCGCTTGAAGTTTAAATGTCGTTTTGTTTTCAGTGCCATCACTTCTCAGTTAGTCCTTCCATTACTTTTATGATGCTGCTTGAGTAATAAACAGTCTTATTGAACAGGAATTAAACAGGAAACTCTTGCATACTTCACATAAACAAACATCCACCAGGGGTGTCTGCTCATTCATATGCATTTATGAAACTAGGACAGTCAAGCTTATGTTGTATTTAGTTATGTACACACAACCTCAGTATTTCCTACCCACAATAAGCTTAGCATATTTATAAGGTAATGTTGTTTTGATTAGGGTTAGGTAATATTGAAAGTGATACTCTTATGTGCTTGTTCCCAGGTTCAACAGTCTCTGGACGGTGTCATGGAGTATCTGCTGAACAACACACCACTCAACTGGCTGGTGGGACCTTTTGCTCCTCAGGTCGTTGAGAGGACGGAGGGAGATGTGGCGATGGAGCAGAGCGGACCACACAACTAGCCTTGCAAGAATTCGTTGTTTCTCCACGAGGGTGACAGAAGACTGGTGTATTACTGTAGATGGACTGTTTGCAAAAAAAAAAAAAAAATATATTATATATATATATATATATATCTGCTGGCTCTAATGATCAATTTTTTTTTTCATGATGCACAACATTTTCAAAAGTTAATGACACTACATTTGTGATGTAGAGGTTGATGACTAAAAGCTCTGAAGTGGCCATAGAGAATTTAAACATCTGTGCACTTTATTATATATCCTAAAAGATAAGTATTTTTACATTTGTTGAAGATCAATCTATACATGAGCCCAAGACTTTTGTTAGTGCCTAAAAATAAGTCCAAGCGTTCCTAGAACTAAGCCAATGAACTGAATTTCCCTTTGTGTGGATAAAACAGCCAGAAGCATTAATCAGATGTAGAGGTAACAGTGTATTCATTTGGCTTTAGATTTGCAGATTTAAATGCAGTATTTTGTGTGGTTTCTGGAAGCAGCTAATAAACTGTCAATGAGCTTGATATGTCCATACAATTATTATTTTTTGACAGCACAGTATTAATGTATCGGTACTGAATACATTCATTAAAGTGTTTATTACTGAGTGGTTTCGTTGTTTTTGGTGGGGGTGGAGGACTTTGCTATGCTTGTCCCCGACTGACTGAAGGCTGAATCGATGCTGCGGGTGACGTCATGGTCGTTGTTTCGAATGTCGGGAGCTAGCGCTGGGTAAGAGGCCGCGCGCTCTGCTGGGGGGGACACAACTTGTACAAATCTGAAGCCCAAGGTCGTCGGCAGCCCTCGGTACCTCGAATTCCAGGTACCGGTCTTCATTTTTAGACCCGCTACGAGAGACGCTGTGCGTAACCGATTGAAAACCAAGCTAGGACGTTGTCGGGAAGCGCACTGTGTTTCGAGGGGCTGCCCGATTAATGCTAGCAGGGTAGCTAACGTTAGCCTGCTAACACTAGCGTTTATTCGATTTAAAACAAAGATTCGTGTACAGTCTGTCGCTAAGGACGCTGTACTTTTTCATGGTCTTGATTTTCATCGCGATCGGAGGCCACCGGGTGAGTTGTGTCCTTCTCTTTGTGGTAGTATCCAGTCAGACAGACAAAGCTGTTTGCTAATGTTAGTGTTTGCTTTGAGCTATGCGAGCATAGGACACCAATTGTTTTCTGCTGCGGGCAAAACTCAAAACGGGGGGGGGACAGTCAGCTGGAAGTTGTTTAGCTACACCTGGAAGCAACGTAGCGTCAACGTTCGCCAGGTCATCGCTGAACGTGAAGGGTTCATTGTTAGTGTAGACATGTCTTCTAGCTTTTGTTTATTTTTGTTAACTTTTGTCCCGATCAGAACATCTTTCAGAAGACAGCATAAACCAGCTGAGCTGGCTTGTGTATTTCGCAGACCGTAACTTGCCTCTTACACTGAAACTCAGCACGTCTCTTTGTGCCCTTTGTTTTCATTCATACGCACAGCTCTCCACCTAGTTTGTGTGACAATTCCATAGTGTGCTACTTTTCACAACTCACTGGCGTGTTGCCCTATTGTTGCAGGAGCAGCTGTGCATTAACCGCTAGGTTGTGTAGTCTGTTCTGTATGTATCTGCTCCTGTTTTTCCATTATGTGTGCGATTGATTTGGTCTTTCATTTAGAAACATCATTTATTCTAAAGTCTCGGTTAAGTGTGGGAAAAAGTCCTGTTCTTCTTCAGTGGCAGTTTTTCACTGTGTTGGAGGTAATTTTGGTTGATTAAGGTATGAACCTGTTTGACAGACCTTCATTAAAGCTACATTTAGTAAGTCATTACCCACAAATTAACTCGCATGTTAACCAACTCCACTCTCATGCTCCAGTGCCAGTCTCCAAACTCTTTTAGCTTTAAAAAAAAAAAGCAATCTGAATAACCATGTAATCAACGAGATAAATGTAATTAAATCTAATCCTTTTGACTAACTTCTGTAACCCCCATTTTCAGGAATATCCCCTCCCATCCCCCTTACCCCCTCTGTCAGAGCATGGCTCAGGAGACCAATCAGACACAGGTGCCAATGCTTTGCACTATGGGATGCGGTTTCTATGGTAACCCCCGCAACACCGGCATGTGCTCGGTCTGCTACAAGGAACACCTGCAGAGGCAACAGGGAGGGGGGCGATCCAGCCCCCCGGGCGAGAAAGGTACGGCGATGGGAGAGACGTGTAACCAGTTTGGTGCGAGATACGGGTCTGTTAGGTGGGGAAGAACAGGGGGGGTCACTCATAAACTGTACAGTCATGGGGGGGGGGCACTTGGGTCTGCTAAAAGGGGTTGGAGAACAGGTAGCAGTAGCTGCCTTCACTGTGGCATCAGAAAGCAAGAGTGACATCAAACCACATCGATGACTGGCATATGTTGGGATACTTTGAAACAGATAGAAAGTCCTTCATGTTCAGGGCCAAAACAACAGGCTTTGTGTTGTTGATGCTATCAGACTGTTCTGTCCCCACACAGCTGTTACATCACCAGCAGGTTCGCCGGGGTCGGCTGGTGTGGCTGTGGAGAGCACGACCTCAGAGCCCGGCACAGAGGTGGCCGGAATCCCACCCGAGGAGCAAACGGCCAGGTATGTTGACGGATGGGAAGGAGTCCTCAAACGATCAGTCGTTGGGAATTAGTGGTGATTTAAATCTCATTAAACCCAAGTATAATTAAGAACACAACGTACTGTGTTCACTGTGAAGAAGCAGATTAGACAAGGTGAGTAATCATATGAACGTAATTGGGAAACGTTGGGCTCTGAACTTGTACATGGTGTTTGTCATTCTAGTGGACATTTGATTATATTGTTAAAATGCCTGTTTTAATTGACAAAATAGACGAGAAGATCAGTTTATCACTAGCTCCAGCACAATGTATTCTAATGTGTTCTCATTAGTCGCTTCAATTAGTCAACAGCTCGCCTCTGCAGAAATCAGAGATGGTAAACGATATTTATATTCACATCTTACTGTTCAAGATACAATCTTCTCTGGCCATTCAGACATTTTTATCTTCGCCTGAGGACTTTTGGTATTTGCTTGTCAATACTACATTTTCAGCCTTTTTTAATCTGACAAATGTGTGCTCTCAACCGAGCCTAATGCCCGGTCAGCGCTGACTGTGGTTCTGTTTGTTTCATAGCATTCATAGGTGGCGTTATGTTTGTGATAAACTGAACATTGTTATTCGGTGCTTTGTCACTCGGTGGCGTTTTCTTGGTGACTGCGTATCTCTGCTTTGCATTTTCATTCAGTCTGCACACAATAACAGTAATCCAATAGTAATTATAGGAGGTAGGCTTAGTTGTTTTTAAAAGAAAACAAAAACTACAGGTTCTTTATCTGTGACATTACACACATAATCTTTCTCTGTAAGCACCGTACCTGCGTAGAATGTTTTTATTTCTTTATTGTGGATGGCTAGTCATTGGGTACTGACCAGTGCTTTCTCTGTGTTGATGTTTTGAGTCTTGTGATATTTTTTATTCTAATAGTTAATAACAAAAGCCGAATGAACCATGTCTTGTTTAAAGTTGACGCTGAAAGAAAGAAGCTCAAGAGTGATGTTCTGTGTTTTATAAACGTGCCCGAGGGCCTGTTCCTAAAACTGCTGCACAACGCTGAATAATTGTTGCAGGCCTTGCTTATTTTTTTTTTTTTGGAATTAAGCATTTTGTAAGGGCTGTGGTGTGCTTTTAGTTATGCCAATAAATCATTTGTGAATCTTGCAATATATCTTGCGATAAGTGACAACAAAAGTATTTGAAGATGATGATGTCATGAGAGGCTGTTTTAATAGTTAAAAAAAAACACGCTTGTGTTGGATTTTTGTTATAGATGTAACTAGGACAACAGACCAGGGTAGATCTTAGAGGAATAGAATCAGATCAGATGGCTGATGAGAGGATTTAATAATGTATCAGTAACTGTACTGTACATCTGTACATTTCTGTGTGTCCTGGAAAGCACAGATTACCCCACATTATAACGAACCCGGTTATCAGAGAAGTCCAAACAGCCATTTCTTCCCAGTGTGATGACATTTTTGGAATTATCAGAAGGGATTTGCGCCTGATCTGTCTGCATAATATTATTATGGATTGTGCTGTGTACTGTAGATATATATATGCACACTGTACCGCTTTCTGTTTGTAGCTGCTTGTGTCTTGTCAAGTTGATAGCTCTTCAAAAGGCATTTCTCAAAGTAGCTGACAGAGAAAGTGCTGAAACAGATCCAAGTAGGTTGTAGTCAGTCACCAAACGAAATGATGGGATAATGTATGCAGCCCCAAAAAAAAGATGCAAAATTGTTTCTGTGGTTGGAAAAAAAACCTACTTAATTGTTTGGATTGTGTTCACTCCATTTTCACATAGATGGTTTGTAAGTCATTCAGGATGGCAACAGGAGCATCAAGGTTGTCTGTGAAGTAAAGATGTTATCATTCACAAAATATACTCAAATCTTTCAGCCATATAGTTACTACAAAATGAAGTAGAAAATACTTCCTGTATTGGTTTAACTGTATTTGTTTGTGTGTTGTCGTGACGCCAGGCCCAGCTCCCCCAGCCCAGTAACTCAACAGATGACCGCTATGAGCATCTCCCAGGACTCGGGAGCTGTAGACTCCGATCGAGCGGAGGCTGAGGAGGGAGAGGAAGAGGGGACTTCCAACAGCTCAGGTACACATCAAAGGAATCGGTGGTCCTTTTTCCATTATCAGTCCCTACCCACTGTTCGCATAACGTGAGTCACACTCGCAGCTGTCGAGGGCGCTACTTATTAACGGTATGAATAAACATTTAAATCGTGGGATGCACTGGCCGCCCTTTACCATGAAGATCTACTAATCTATAGAAACAAACACTCTGAGGATTGTATGTTTCCTCCATACTCTAATTCCACCTTTTTTTTATCATAAAATTATATTTTATGATGAATGTCAGATGAAACTTCAAATTGTGTGATTTTTCCTTTTTCCAATTTTCAGCATGGTTGTTTCTGGGGTAATGGGAGTTTTCAGCTCTGCACATGTGCAGAGGATGGAGGGTTTTATTGTCACGCTGGCTGGTTTGGGACGGCCCTTAGTATCGCAAACCCATCATCCAAATGTCTAGATGGGGAGAGAGTGAATGCAGCGATGCTTTAGTGGCCGTAATTGTCTCTGAAAGAGAAACAAAGAATAAATATAAAGCTGTTTTATACCGTATCAGTCATACTAGATAGCGGTAACTCTTTTTTTTTGTATATCTTGTGAATATACATGTTTTATTTTAACATGTAGTTATCCTTGTATAGAAGCATATACGTGAACAAACAATGGATTGTTTTGTCACCATTGTGTGTTTTTTTTTTTTTTTTATCAGAACCAGTGGAGGAAGCAGCGCAGGCTTTGTCTGATAACGACCAAACTCCAGATAAAAACAAGAAAAAGAACCGCTGCTTTTCTTGCCGGAAGAAAGTGGGCCTTACTGGTAAGGAAGAGAGGAGCTTTTGTTTTTGACTGAGAGTCATCTCACCTCTGACGCAATAGATAACAGTTGGGGAGTTTTTGGGATATCCGCCACGTCTTATCTGAGCTTAAACTTAGAGCTAAGCTTTGACTTAGGCATAGTTATTTAGTCGTGTTTCTTCTACCTAAGAAAGCATCTCTAAAATTGAAAAACCTACCTAACATCGAACTCCCAGTCCATGGTTTGTGTGATGTTTTTCTTTCTCCACAACCAAAACGCTTTGCACAGAGAACAACATTCTGCAGGTCAGTGGTGCATTTCACAGTGTACTGCTGGCCTCCACGGTTTGATTACCTCAAAGGAGGCTCCAGTCCTATTTAATCTTTGTAATATTTGTATTTTTATGCCTAATCCCTCACCCAACAAATGTAGAAAGTGGGCAAAATGCAACCTGGTATCAGCATGAACTCTCATGGTCTGGTCAAATACTTAGCGGAGTAGCCGGCCTTTATTCATGTCCTGTTTTGATCCGTGTTGAAGAGGCTTTTTGTTGTAAAATATATTAAAGTAATGTAAAATATGCTCATTTAAAGAGCAAATACACTCCGCCTGTGGTTCTGGGTGTTGAGCAACAGATATGAACCTTTCCACCCGGAGCGGTCAGTGCAGTAAAACTCGTCCTCTCTACAACAATTAGTGTGCAAAGTAAGTTATTTCCGTGTGTGATGATGTGTAGACCACGCTTGTATGTTGACTGACCGTGTTTGCTTCTCTCCACTGAAGGCTTTGACTGTCGCTGCGGGAACCTGTTCTGTGCCATTCACCGTTACTCTGACAAACACGACTGTCCCTACGATTACCGGAGTGCAGCTGCTGCCCGCATACGCAAGGAGAACCCCATCGTGGTGGCTGAGAAAATACAGAAGTTATGAGGACTGAGCGCAAACAGAAAAAAAGTCTCTGACTTTGTGAATCTGAACAATGGCGACTTGGATGAAAAACACCTGATATCATGGCTTCATTTGTTCATGGCAGACTAAGCCGGGGCGGGGCGGTGAGGTTGCAGCCATGACGCTTCCCTTACCGGCCTCTCCCTCTCTCTCTCTCCACTATTGACTGCGGATGAATCTGAGCGCTTCTGTGTGTGTGTGTGTGTGTATGTGTGTGTTTGTATGAAAGTCAGTGTGTGCACATTTACTTGAGAGTCGGGGAGAGTGCCGTAGGGGCCTGGTGGACGTTAGTGTTGCTGTGGGGAGGGAAGGCATTTGATTTTTAGCCCTTTTTTGTTTCTCATCTTGGGGGGATCGTGTGGTTTTATTTTTATACAATCCCTGTAAGGCAGTTGAAATGAGATGGGGGTAAGCTGAGGAATGTGTCACAGCCTGATTAATGGCACAGAGGTCAATTAAGAAGTAAAAAAAAAAACGAACTCGGAGATTTCATCTATCAGCAAGACCTTTTAAGGGCTTTGGAATATATGTATATATATATATATATATATATATATGTGTGTGTGTGTATATATAGATATATATTCTCCCCCACCCCAGACTGAAAATGATGTCAACTTATTGTCAAATTGGCATACTTTTTTTTTTTTCCCCTCCCCCATCCTCTTACCTTTTCTCTATGGGTCATCATACGTTGAACTCCCAAGTCTTAGCATTTTCCAGAAACGTTTCTCTTTGATATATTGACTTATCATACTGATATTGGGTGCATGAACAGTTGTTGGAGGGGGGAGGGCAAGGATCGGGGAAACTGAGAACCTTGACTTAACGGAGTGATTGAATTCTGTTTCTTTTCTCCTTTTTTTTTTTTCCTGTTTTAATGAGCGTATGACATCAGAAGATCTATATTAATATATTGTAGTTAGCTTGAATTGTGTGATTGCATTCTATTTATTTTTTATCGTTTGGTTGGTCTGTGCTGGAGGATTGGCAGCATGTGTCAGCAAATCGTTAAGATTTGCACTTAACCATTTCATTCATATTTAAGTAATTCCATCTTGATTATATAACCATTGAATAAAAAATACACAAGCTTTGACATGATGGAGTAGAGTCCAGTTAAGCCGTTACAGTCACAATCGTGCAGTAAAAATCTCCATAGTTCTGGAATTTTGGAAACAAAGCACAACAAATTGTGTCGACTGCAGAGCACCAGATCCTGTGCCACACCTACTCAGTTTTGTTCAGCATCCGGGTCATTTGCCGTTTTTATTTTATCTGTACAGCAGGCTCGCTGAAGAAGTTGCCTGATCGATGAGACGTTCCGTTTAAGCGAGGCCATGTTCCCCCTTTTCCGTTCCATGAGGGGGAAGCTCCTTGTTTCTCTAACCACCAGCAGACCACTGACACATGCTGAATGAAAACTGACCTGGGTTCGCGGTGACTCTACGCGCTGACGACTCCACCTTCCGCTCAGCTAAATGAAGCGCAATGCTAAGGAGTCGCGTGCTGTGCTTTTTTTGCAATGTGCTCGGATTCAGACGAGTCCAGCGAGCTTCCTCTAGGATGATCAAACTTACCTGCATGTGTGCAGTCAAACATACCAGTTACTGTTTCGTAACCGGCTGCACAGTTTTGAAATGAAGCTGGAATGTTTATTATAGAAAGCCACACAGCAGTAGCACAATGCATGGCTGGAACCGTAAGGTCAAGTTAACAGGGCTCTACCGTTTTGTTTTGTTTTTCTCCATATGTAAATACCATATGGCTCCTATTCATATAGTATAATCTTAATGTAGATTTCTGCCAGGTAATAAAGGTGGGGCACTAAGGTGAAGAATAGTACTATGTGTAGAAAAGTGCTATTCATAATTATCCCCCCAAAATGCTACGAATGGCACTGATCTTTTTTTCCCCATTTTATTTACACGTTATTTATCACATCATCTGCCCGATGTAATGTCCCAAAGTATATTCAGTATCTGGCTCCACCATGCGTCTCTTCTACGGGCCACGTGGCTTCTATTCTGCAATACCAGTGGGATTGTTATCGAGCCACGTAAGCTTTATTAACTGCGCTGAATCACACATTAGCCCAGCACATGCTTTTTATCCTGTTTACTGAATTCTATTCATAGCACAGAGATAATAAGTTAAAAAGGCCCCTCGTGAGATGCAGAGAAGCACTTGAGGTTTCATCTTTTCATTATCAAAAAGCTTTCTCTCTGTGAATGATGCTTCATCATTAAGTATTAATGAAAGAGCTGTGGAAAAGTTTCAAGGAATTTGCAGAGTATGTATTTTTCAAAATAAGCCAATGCGGGATGTATTGGGCGTGAATGACTTCTCCTTGTATGCACAGAATATCATGTTGGACCTGGTTGAGTTTAGTTCTGGCTCCTTTTTATTGGATCATAATTCCCGTTTTAAGTCCTAGTGCGGCTGATGGACGTATAAATGACTTCGTGACTTTGGCGTGCCAACACCCGGAGTGTTTACCCAGGATGAGCTGGTCATCTAAAGCCCCAGACTGGTTTTATTACCACTGGTGGAAACTTGAAACTCTAAATATTCTGATATTCAGAGGGAAGTTGTGGTTGAAACTCTGTAGTTTGATGTTCCCTAAGGTGCATCTATTTATATTCCGACTATTCAAGCTTGCCTGCTGCGTTGATGACCTTTACAAAATATTGTCACCTACAAAATGCTCAGTTTTCCTTTACAGATTGAAAGTCCTTTCAGAGTAAAAGTACTTTGCTTGGGATGATTGTTCAGCTGTGTACATTGTGAGGATTTCACGGTTTACACTTGTTTTCTATTGACTGCTCATATCGAACCCCCCCCCCCCCCTACACACCCCTTTATTTTCTTGGGCAGTTTGAATGTAAACCACCATAATTCACATAATCAGCTGTAATGTCATTTATCATGTATTTGGGTGGAGGCCCAATTTTTCTTACATGTGATTTCGGACAGTTGGATCAGCGACTATTTGTGATGACGGACTTGGCACCAGCAATATAGGGCAACCATACCTAAAGAATCTCGATATTATCAGTACATGTATACATTGCTCTTCCCTCTGTTCCGTTGCTTCGATAGAGTTTTGATGTCTTCAATCCCGTCTTTAGCACAACCTTTCATAATCGATGTCTTCATCGTGCGAGGGTTTTGATTGATAATAATGATAAACCTGTCAGCTGAGACGAGTCCGGTTGAAATTCAGTTGCACTGCAGAAGAAAAGACAAATGACGGCGACTCGATTCAATCTTGTCTTTTCAAGATGAGCTTGAGGGACATCAAATGAAATCTACAATGTTCACAGAGCTGTACTTCTTGTTCCTTGGCACTCCAGTCCCCCAGAAACACCACCAGATATCTTTTTATTTTGTTTTCTTTGAAGATTTAGGATTGTATGATGTGTAAGAGTAAGTATAAAACAATAAATTCACAAAGTTTATTTTAAATTACACTTGTCTTTTGTATTTCTTTATTTTAATGTACAAAGGTTTCCCTAAAAGTTCTATAAATGCAATTTATATATGTAGTGGTATAAACTTTAACAAAATCATTCCTGACTTCCTTGCTGCTCCAGTACATGCACAGGCTGTGGCCCCAATGCATTGTACTTGTATATTGTTTTCAAATACAAAGCAAAAACTAAAGGGCACAAATGGTACAAGAGCAGCTAATGTTCAGCTCTGATGCATGCTGTAAGAGGAGTTGCCTCAAAGCGATTTAACTCTACTGAATGAACACTTGTGATTTCTTGACATCACAAGATCAGAAAACAACAGATTAATTTGACTAATTTCATATTTTTTACACTTATTAAACATGCCAATAGCTTGTCCTTCACCACACAAGACCTAGAAAGTGATTGAATGCGGTGTGCAAGAGTAGGAAAAATAAGATATGGGGTTTGCAATTTTAAATACTGTGGGCACTAAATATTCAATTTGTGGTGGGGTGGATGTAGACATCCCCAAGACATAACTCAGAACCTGGGCAAAAAAAACACCAATTTGTGGTAAGATCTGGAGAGATGTGAGACCTGGAACACACGGTTATAGTAATACTAATGTTTCAACATAAAGTATGTCTTCACCTTATAATCAGTGTAACTAAATACTGATGATGATTAACCTGAGATTAAGTCTAATCAGGCAGAATAACAGAAAACCCTGTGTTGGAGTGTGCAGGGCCTGTAACAGGATGACCTATTTCTTATGACCATGGGTGAGCTGCATAAACAAAAGTTGAAAAGCTGACATTTGCAGTTCTCTGTAATAGGTAGTAAAGTTTTGTTTTTTTTGTGCTAGCAAAGCCTCTTGCTTAGAAACTGGCAGGAAAAGTCCCCGTGTTTGTGTGTGTACTTGTACATCTATCTTTGTGAGGACCACTTACAGTTTTAGACCCGGGAGTGAGGACATTTTTGGAAAGAGAGGACATTTGACCGGTCCTGTCTTCTTCAGAGAATTGTTTGAGGGTTCAGACTTGGTTTTAAGGTTCAGGTTAGAATAAGGTTTGGGGTTAGACCTTTAGTTGTGATGGTTAAGGTTAGCGTAAGGGGGACTAGGGAATGCATTATGTCAATGAGTGTCAAATTCCCGTCAGGTATTATTTTATCACAGTTGCCTACACAATGATACATGGTGATACGTCTTGTTCTTTGTTAAAAATGAAGATATTTATTGTAAAAAAAGTCCCACCAACTTTAATTAATCATTTTAGTCACTAATACTAATTTATTGTGATGATTCATACGCACAGCAGAAACAATAGATACTGTGCTTTTTACCCTTGTTTTCTTCAAAGAACAATTAAGTTAAATTATGTCATCTTTTACAGCATTGTCACCCACGCTGATAAGGAGTTTCCCTTAATTGTCCAATGGAAACTCCTGACGTCACATCCGGTCAGCTGTCCGCTTCCGGATGCGGTGAAACGGCGGAGAAGAAGGAAAACACCGCACGTACATGGATTAATTTAAATGACAAGACGCCATCCATAAATTCAGAGGAGACTCCAGCACCGTCCAGAATGGATTCACGGTGAAACGCGCACACGTCGGAACCTGTGTATTAACGGCGTTTTTGCTCCGGATGTCCACGATTGAGCGTCGTTTTTTAATCGAGTAGCCGTGTTTATGTCTTCTTGCTAGCTTAAGCCGTCGTAGCGTTAGCTGGTAGGCGCAGACGAGCAGCTTCTTTCTCCGGTACTATAAGACCTGTCGTTATTCTTGATACATCACACATTCACGTGAGGGAATTGGGGCTGTATTGTAATTGTAAAAACGCTTATAAGTTGTTTTTATCACTTTGTAGATCACGTTGTAAACGCTAGTTCCTCACCGTCAAAGACCAGTCAGAAGTTGTCGTTTTTCCTAAAAATATACAGGGCACGTTTGGGAAACAGAACATTGTATCTGAAGTGACTCGTCGACATCTCAACAAAGTGGACAAAATGGATGTGATCTGGACTTCAGTCACCACTCAGACAACACAGCAGATACTTTGTAAATAACACTTCCTGTCTGCCGTTCGGCTCCACTACTTTTTGCCTCCTTCTGCTGACTGGGCACTTTACAGGCAGTATCCAGCGTTTGAAGTTGACTGAAGTCTTCCTTTGTTTTTAACTTTTGTTTCAACACAACTTTTTTACTTTAGCTTAGACTAAGCGCCTCAGCTCAACAGGTAGGTCTCCTGTCATTGTCATACACATGTATTGTATATTTGTGGTGATGTCATATGGTGTTGCAGTCAGTGATTGTTTTTATAAATGTCTCTTTTGCTAATTGAGTTATAGTCCTATGGTGTACTAGAGCGCTGTCACTCTTATTTAAAGTACCAACATCCAGAAAGTTAGAGCCGAAACTATTATAGATTGTTAGCTGGCAAAAAAAATCAATAATCAGCACTTCTTGATTACTTGTTTGTCATTTCTCAAAGAAAAACAGACAGTTTTTCACATTGAGCTTAGGAAATTGCGACACACATGTTTTCAGATGTGTATATATATATATATATATATCGTTAATATTTTAATCTTGACATGTTACAAACAAGCTGTTGTAGATGCATTGTCCTCATCACTGTAGCCACCTTTGACTGAATGCCTTGTACATTACATTGTAATAAGTATCTCATTGTGTTAACACTGGGATGATGTGGCTCCATTAGCACAGTGATCCTCTTGTCTCCCTCCTGCACAGTGAAGGATGAATGGCCTCTCTCTCAGCGAGCTCTGCTGCCTTTTCTGCTGCCCGCCATGTCCCGGTCGCATCGCGGCCAAACTCGCCTTCCTGCCCCCCGAGCCCACGTACGCCTTCCTCCCAGACCCAGACCCAGAAGCTGGCCCTGCAGCAACAGGAGCAACAACACCAGCACCAGCAGCAGCAGCACCAGGGGCCACGGGGACGTCCAGCCTGCGGGCGCGGAACGGTGCATCAGTGGCTGGGAGCGGAGGGGCCGCGTCTGTGGAGGGCAGATGGAAGCTCCACCTGACGGAGCGGGCGGAGTTCCAGTACTCGCAGAGAGAGCTGGACACGACGGAGGTGTTCCTCACGCGATCCAGCCGAGGCAACAGAGTCGGCTGCATGTACCTTCGCTGTGTTCCCAACGCCAGGTAGGTCCTTTTGAAAGGTTTGCCTACCTTGTGAGGCCACGTGGTAACAGTAGGTGTTTGTGTGTTTACAGACTGCAGCTTGCTTGGCCTTCCTTATTTGTTTTTCTACGGTGTCACACTTCCTCAGAAGTGTTTCCACACCCTCCTTCCATGTCAGTCTTCTTTCACTCACACTCGGGTCTACTTCCTTTACTCGTCTCCCAGCTGACTCAAAGATTGTCTGATACATATTTTGCTCATGTCCAGGTTCATGCCAGTATTATGGGATTCTACTAGTGCATGTCTACTTTAATGTTCAAAGTGCTCATGCTGTCTCTCAGACTGTCTGTCTGAATATACCTGTACTCACTCTCTGTCTGAAACGCTTAGTTTGAGCACATTTCCAATGGAACTGCACAGCTTGTCTCCGTGTTTACTTCCTGTCAGCTGCTGTCATGCTCATACGCTGCAACCGAAAATAAACCGGGACACAAATTCTGCTTCATGATAATGATCATAATAAAAAAAATAAAAAAACGTGTCACGATCAAGATCATAACGGCAAGATGTTAGTTTTCAGTGAGTCAGAGACAAAACATTTTCAGCAATCTGGCTTTCTTTCCTGTAGATGTGTGCCATTGAATTTATCGGCAGTGATTGGTAGATCGTTTTACGGGAAGTGATAACGTCATTTAGCAGCAGATGTTGAATGTTACGATGTACTGTAAAAGTATTCAACTTCAGTTTTATGCCCATCCTGTCGCCGTACGCTGCTGCTGATTAATTTACTAAATCGATTAAAAAGACATGGACATGCTTGTGTTACAGTCTGTGTGTCTTGTATTAATGGCGATCTTGTATTACACACCAATGAACCCAAACCAGACCCGATATGGGGGAGTCTTTGTTATGCCGCATTCCGCGTGGAAAGGCCACACGGGCAAAAAGCCACAGGCCGTATGGGTTCATAAACAAAACCACAGAGGAAAAGAAAAAGTATTCGATTCCTCAAGGGAGCACAACATACGTTCATGAATAACAGGCGAGGGCTAGATAGCCAGCTTTTATAGTGGATACGCTCCTTCTCAGGTTGTGCCAAATGTCTAGAAGTTAGAGTCATTTGTCAAGAGCGGTAAACCGATCCTCCAGCGTGCGACACGTTGGCCGCGGAGCCAAAGTAACCTCGCTGTGTGGACCCTGACATGGTGCTTATGCTTTGATTCAGTGTCGAGTTACCTGGACTGTGTTTTAGTTTTTGTCTTTTAATTAATGTTAATCCTTCATGTCACTCTTTGTGCTTCAAGTGAAGTCCGGTAGAATCTCCAGTGTTTATACGTATGATTTGACATATGCACTTCAACTAAAGATGTTTTCATGTGTTTCTAGTGGTGTTTGTCGAGTCCTGTAAAAATGACAACTACGTGTCTATATCCTGCTAATGTTTTCGACTATAACTAAAGTACTTGTCAGCGATTGTGGGCCCATCTACTAACCTTGCCTTCTGCATGCGTGTCCCGTCAGATTCACAGTGCTCTTCTCCCACGGTAACGCGGTCGACCTGGGCCAGATGAGCAGTTTCTACATCGGCCTCGGCACTCGCATCAACTGCAACATCTTCTCCTACGACTACTCGGGCTACGGCGCCAGCACTGGCAAGCCCTCCGAGAAGAACCTCTACGCAGACATCGATGCAGCCTGGCACGCCCTGCGCACGCGGTACGTTATGATATAATTGGGCCATATGCGTCCTGTCATGGGTGAGTTATTATACGGTGGCTTGCCCTGCTGAGACGGGACGTGTACTTTAGATTAGGAGCCATGTTACATGTATGGATGGGTTCAAGTATCGCTGCATTCTTAGGGAAACCACTGTTGTATGTCCTAAAAAATATATATCAAGGTGGCCGAGGTTGTGATCAGGACAGAGCTGAGATGAAAAGAGTAGAGAGTGAATAGATGCCGTGGGAATAAAAAAAGAGTGAGATGGACGGATCAAGGAAGAGAGTGCTGGAGGAGGTGTCTCTCAAGGACGATGCGATGTGATAAAGTGTCTCATTAGTGAAAGCGGAGCTGCCTTAATGCGGCTGTAGCCTCAAGGCAGACATGACACCACGGAGCGTTGACAAAGGGTTTGTTAGGTGAATTCACTTTTGGGTGTAGCTGTCACTCTTTGCCATAAAACTTCAGCATATTTATTAAAAACAATTTAGTTTTCATTGGATGTTCCCCAATACTCTACCTGCAGGTAAACAGTTTTTCTTCATTGTGTATTTACAGCAGCCACCTTAGACTAAAATCAATAAAAAAAAAACAATATCTGTGTACCTGTTACTGCTGTATTTGCCACAAGGCACAACTTCCATAACCTGCACTATATCTATATATCTCTCTCTGTATCTTTGAGCAGGTATGGCATCAGCCCGGAGAACATCATCCTGTATGGACAGAGCATCGGTACAGTACCCACCGTGGACCTGGCGTCGCGGTACGAGTGCGCTGCCGTGGTGCTTCACTCACCGCTGACGTCTGGCATGAGAGTGGCCTTTCCTGACACGAAGAAAACGTATTGCTTTGACGCGTTCCCCAAGTAAGTCTCTATATTTCTTTTTGCTCTTTATCTTTACGTGTGTTTGTCAGCGCACGGTCTGATTTAAGTTGACACGCGTGATATGTGGCATTAAGTTAATAGTCGGCTGTAACGATAACACTTTTGTCAAAGAAATCTTTCTACGACAGTCTTTATTCTCCCCTCGGCCTCGTTCTCTGCACCATAAAATCCTGAAATGAGGTGTTCATGTGAACACACACACACACATAGATTACACAGACTATTTTGCTGCCAGTTGGCATTTCCACATAATTACAGATCGGCCAACAGAAAAGTGTAATTGCTATTTGCACTGAAAGCGCTTCTAATCCAAGACAAACATCTGCGCTGAAAGAGCAGCTCCGGTGCCGTCATGTCAGCGTTGGTGTCTTTTCTTGGTTTTATTTTCATAGATGTGAGCAGGCCATCCAAACACTGTCACATTTCAGAGAAGGACTGTGTGATCTTACAGAAGTGATCTCACTGTACAGCGACCGAAAGTGACCTTCCATGAGTGCAATCCTGGTTTATCTTTAACTTTTAACAACAGTCTTAAGTCCCACATCTTTACAACCTAAATGAAGTTAGAGTGTTAAAGGGGAACACCACCCTAGATTAAGAGTTCAAATAAGTTCTAAACCTGTGACAACGTCATGTATAACGTCTGGAGCTGCTCCATAAACGATGTGACTTTTTTGCAATGTGACAATATTTTGGAGCATTTTAGACCATGAGAATAACATGAATGAATTTTGAAAAATTTAGATCTTCAGCTCAGAATGTGAAGGCTTCATCATTAAAGCGAGGACGCATTTGGTATTAATAAGCATTAACAATGAAACTATCGTTGAACACTAACAACAACGTGGTTGTGAGATTCAGTCCTTGTTGGCACTGTTCATTTTATGGCTTCATCCTCCCTTTGAAGAGATGTGGCGTCCTACATTTGTGTGCCACTGTAATGTGGGTGTTCACTGTAATGTGTTGTTACTGTTTTTATTTTTAAATCTTGGCCACCGAAATAAGCTCCCTTGGCGGGACAGAAACAACGGCGAGAAAAGCTATCATTAGTGAGGCTCTATCCCTTCTGTTCTCGTTGTCGGTTTAGTTCTAGTGGCCGCGTCTGACGGAGGTCAATATCCGGCCAACGCCGGTCTTAACGCAGTGTCTAGTCCACGTGGGTGAGGAGCAGAGGTGGGAGGACACCAGAGGGGTGTGTGTGTGTGTGTGTGTGTGTGTGTGTGTGTGTGGTGAGAAAGCCTCCAGTGTTCAGAGTGGGCAGCTGGCCTTCCTCTTTGTGTCCGACTGTTCTTTATCTGCTGTTTTCTATGTAAATATTCCACGGGAAGACTCGATTATCAAGCAGCGTCGGAAATACACGAGGGCAAAACTGCCCCTAAGAAATATAATTTTGCCCCTGATATCACTAGGAGAGGGGCAAAAAATGCCCCCGAACTTTCTAAACGAATAAATAAATGGAGCGCTTCTTAATCAGACCTGAGACTGCGGTCAACTCAGCAGACACTTACATGTTAGTGCACCTATATCCTGAAATTCACGGTAAACGCATTTAAACGGCACAGATCGGGAGCGAGCGAAGGACTTTGAAAGTTAACGGAAAGATTAACGTGAGACAACATCCGGTTTCTTCAGACGAACATCCGGTTTTCAGAATAAGATGCCAACAAAGTATACATATTGCATAATGGAAATTAGATTAAATGAATTATATTCACATTAAGTATAAAACATGCTACCTGCATCTCGTGAGTTAAAGGGAAAATACACCTAAATTGTGCGTAAAGTGTCTTTATTCTTTGATTTGAGGGTTGCTGGAAATGAATAATACCTGACTGACAGTCTATTAAGATATTTTACGAAGCAAAAACTCTGAACTGAATTTGTATCTTCAAATGGCACATTTCTTTTAAATGTTTAACGTGCTATAAAAATGTTTTTCTCAAAAATTCCACACAATGACTAATGTATATGTAATCAAGGCATCGTTGACTTAATAATTGTTAATAGTTGTTTAAAAAATTTAAGAATAACAATAAATAACCACAAAGAAATAAGAATAAAATTGAATATGATTGTCTGATTTATGTTTGTTTTTTGTTAAAAAAATCTAAGAAAACACTTTGAATCTGTAGACTACTGCCTAATAGTCTTATTATTGCCATTTGATGACAATTGCTCATATATTGTAAGCCTAAATAAATATATTTATTATTTTGAACAAAGGTTAAATGTTATTTCACAAGTTTCAAAAAGTGCCCCCAATTTTTTGAAAATGCCCCTGGATTTCAGTCAGTGGGGGCAAAAGTTGCCCCCAAAAATATATGTAAATTTCCTACCCTGATTTTAAGATTCGGCCATTGTGTGTTTTGTCGTCTGTTTTAATGCTTCTGCCTGTTTTCGGGTTGTCCGTCCGTCCGTACTTTTTCTCGTGAACTCGATGCCTCATGAACACAAATGTCTAAACAGGATAAAATGATGACATTTTGGACAGACGTGGATTTAAACTGTAGTTTGACTGGTTGGCGGAGGCACACAACGGCCTAGTGATAATTCTAGTTTATACCTCATTATGCAATAAATATGTTGATTTCTAGAGATGAAATCTATAAATCTCAAGACTCATGTTTGTCTTGTTTACTGTCCACAAGAGTCAAACCTGTTCTAAAGAGACGGATGGGTCAACACTGATGATAAAATGTGCAAATGATGTGCACACAGGCAATAAGGCAAGATGTCTGCACCATGATACCGTTTTTGATAATAACTCGAAGATATCACGGTTGTTTCAAAGCAATAAACAAGTTTTATAGCCAATAACAATTTACTGTAGCAGCTCAGGCAAAATTGATCCATTAAATATATTCATGTATAATCCACCGGCGCACTGACCCTATCTTTTATGATCTGATCTACAGTGATTTATGAGTCCAACTGTCCATCACTGACCTGTGAAATCTGCTTTGAAGAGCTCTTTCATGAGGGCGGCTGACTAATATTGTATGTAAATCATCACCCCCCACCCCCCTTGCTCTTTTTTTAGCATTGAGAAAGTGTCCAAAATTGTGTCCCCGGTGCTCATCATCCACGGGACGGAGGACGAGGTCATCGACTTCTCCCACGGCCTGGCTCTGTTCGAGCGCTGCCCCAAAGCTGTGGAGCCTCTCTGGGTGGAGGGGGCTGGGCACAACGACATTGAACTGTACAGCCAGTATCTGGAGCGCCTGCGCCGCTTCATAGGACAGGAGTTGGCGGTGCAGCATGCCTGACCGCCACCGCCCGGATCCTCATCATCATCATCATCGTCATCTTTACCATTTTGTACAAGAGTCATCTAAACCGTCCCGTACCGCGGCTGTAACGCTTCACGTACTGTAGAGCTTTGTTTCCGGGGCACTGCGCGCCGTTAATGGGCCGTGGAAAGAAGTGCGTTCGTAAACAGAAGTGTGTGAGTGTGGAAGACCTCGTCACAAACTGCATTTCGACAGTTTTTATTTTTATTTTTTGCAGTTACTTTAGTACTACATCTATTCCTATACGGTGCAATAATATGGACAGGAAGGGGAAAAAAGCCTTTAAATGATTAAAAGGAGATTTAACACAACATCAAACTGATCAGTAAATGACATTGTGGTCCGCATGGAAAATCAGTTTTTCCAGCCTACTCATAGTTTGTGGGATTTTTTACTGTTAACCCAAGTTAAATGGATAATGTGGAAACGTTGGAAACACTTAAAAAACACCCTAAAAAAGCTTTATTTTATTTTGTCGTTTTCTTAACACCTGTTTGAACTGCAAACAGGTTTGTAACTAAGTTTTCTACAGTTTCTATTAGTGACCCCTATACAAGTTAATGTAATCCAATTTAAAGCCTGACAATAAATCCTGTTTCGAAGGGTTGATCTCACTATATTGTCATTTTGTAGTTATTAGCTGTGTGGCGTTGGACTGCATTATATTGAACGGTGTTCCTAATATCTTATCGCCTCATGTATGCACTAGAGACATACATGCTTAATTCTGTTTTTCACAGTACTGAACATTTTGCTCAGGTAACCCTCTTTTAGACATTAGGGTAAGTGTATTCCACATTTGTTTGTGTCCTTTTTTTGTTTTATATGCAGTCAGTGAAATCTCTTCAGATTTCTGGGGACACGTTCATGCTGTGTGTGTGTGTGTGTGCCTGTGTGTGTGTGTGTGTGTGTGTGTGTGTGTGTGTGTGTGTGTGTGT